CTCTCTAAATTTTAATATTAAAATTAAATTTATGAAGAATTTAATTCTTATCAACCACTTAAAACCATTCTCCCTCTCTCATAATTTTTCATATTAAAATGAAATTAATATTATTTAAAAAATTCAATCTCCTACCTGGGCAATATATCATTGATGCAAATTAATGAGCTTTTGACCAATACTTTTACCTTTGATTTTAGGGGCTATTAAACAGGGGGAGACTGAAGGCCAAAAAATTCAGGGGGAGGACAACTGAATCGGTTTGTTTCATTTAATTATTCGAATTCAATTGATACAGGAGAAATATAATTTATTTTAAAAAGAAAATGATTTAGAAAAGTTTTTCATATAATTTTTTAAAAATATTTTTCCTCATAATATCTTAAACTATCAACTTCTAAACACTAATCTCGTATAATTCATACTTTATAGTACTTACCATTTCATCTATAAAAATTAGTGTAAAAAATTAAAAAGATAATTTTTTATATAATTTTTTATTATTTAATAATTAATTTTTTATTTTATTATAATCAGTAATATTATATACATTTATTTATTTAATAATATATAAAAATTATATAAAAAATCACTTAGATATCATTATCCAACTAATGCATAAAACACTGATCTGTTTACAAAATAATTAGATGGAAATTGGAAAGTTTTATTTGTCTGGATGCCTTCAGATAATTAGTTATCCAAGTAGGGAGTGATGTTTAAGATTTCATTCCTGTGACTGTTCTTGCTGATGAAAATGGAGAGGATAATATTTCTTTTTCTGGGCATTGGGATTCTTCGATTAAGATTATATTATACATGGTAGTAGTATTATATTGCATATTTCTGTCATTTTGTTTTTGATTTATTGTTAAACAAACAACATGCTGCTAAGAAGCACAAAAGGGGTGGCATTGCCAATATCACATGCAATGTAAGTTTGGGGAGACAAGATAATCCGACCAAATAGTGTTGAGACATAAGTCAGATTTCAGACTGTCGATAAGGTCAATGATCTTACCGGCCTTACTTCCCTAAACAGTGAAAAGAAGATAAAGTTCCTGCTACTCAACCAGTACTTCGTAGTCAATACAGTGTTCCACAAGCAAAGCAAAGAAACCTTGTATGATACACTGGCGCAAATTAAACAGCTTTTTTTTTTTT